CTACAACCCACAACAAGCAACAGCAAGTTCTGGGGAGGGGAGAAAATCTGATTTTTCAGAGTTACCACAATGTAATGCTCAAGATATCCAGTTATCAACAGCAAAAAAATTACTATGCATGCAAAGAAGTAAGTATAGTCTATTAACAGCAAAACAAGAAATTAATAGAAACTGCCTCTAAGGGAGCCCAGACATTGGACTTACTAGACAAAACTGTAGAACAACTGTCCCCCTAACTGGCCTGGCCCCTGTCTACCTCTCACCTCACCTTGTACCAGTTTATGTTTTGCTCACTCTCATGAGTCACACTGGCCATCCTGTTGTTCTTTAGTTCATCAAGTATGTTCCTCTTAGGACTTTAAACATGTTGCATTCCCTCTGGAGTGCTCTCCTCCTCCTTTGCACAGCTCACTCTGCACATTCTGGGCTCTGTTCACATTCTACCTCCTCAGAGGCATCTTTTCTGACTTCCTTATCTACAATAGCTGTGCCCTTCCCCCACCTCCCTACCTACTATCAATTTCTGTTCCCTTTAATTGTTCACGTCACTCTCTGAAATTATTTTCAGAGTTACTTATTTACGGTAGCTACTTATGTACTTGTTTATTGTATGTCTCCCTCACTAGGATGGAAGCTCCTTGGCAGCAGGTACTTTACCTGTGTCCTTTAATAAGTATTTATTAAATGAATAAATAAAGCTATACATGTTGAACAAAGAATAAGAACAAGAAAAGCTTAAAAATTTCCTGTGAGGAGTCTCCTTCAGCTCAGAAATTTTTGCTCACCAGTTGTTTAATAAATCTACTAGAGAAAGTCTTTCCACTGACAAGGCTTCAAATAAGGTGACAGGGTAATGTCCGATGCCATGATGGCCTGTTATTTCCATCCTAGGAAAGGAGATCACAGGTGGGGAAGTGAGTGAGCAAACCTCTGTCCCCATTTAAGCAGCTTCCGGGTCAGGGGTGGACAGTGTGTCAGTGAGCTGCAGGCAAAGCTCTCTGGGTGAGCCCCTGTGACCACGAAAGCCAGGCCACTTTTGGTGGCAGTGGAAGAGGTGTCCTTGAGATTTCAAAGTAATCCCGTCTTTGGCAGAGGTTGAAAAACAGGGCGGGTAATATACAAATGTTGGGTGATATTGCCTTGAGTAAAGAGCAAAGGGACAGTGGGCTGACTGCTCTTTGTCTCTTCTTGTTCTGCAGTTTCAGAATCAATCCCCAGAGAAGAATCTCCTCTGATTCTGGTAAGGTTCTAAAACAACCAGAGACAAGAAATGATACTTAAGTATTAAGATTATGAACAGCTTATGAACAGCTTTTAATGTACCCACCTACTACCCCCCACTCTCTACTTTGGTGGCTATAAAGACCACTGCCCACATTCCTGGTGCAGCTTTCTCATGCCAGAGGGGAAAATACAGATCTTGAATCAAAAAAGGTGGGTAAATTAAAATACCACAATCTTCTTTCCAAAATTCAGTAGCATTTTTCTTTCATAAGCTTATAATAAATGGGTTTATTCCATTAAACATTAAACTATTTTTTTTTCTGGATGAAACTGTTTCTAGAACCTGTTATATACATCAAAAATTTCAATATATTAACCGCTTAATTTTCTTCTAAAAGATACTACAATGAACTCAGTAACATTTTTCTGAGGTAGTAGGGCATGGTGATTAAGAATACTGCTTCTTGGGACTTCCCTGGTGGTCCAGTGGTAAAGAATCTGCCTTACAATGCAGGGGACTCAGGTTCGATCCCTGGTCGGGAACTAAGATCCCACATGCCTCGGGGCAACTAAGCCCCCATGCCACAACTACTGAGCTCGTGCGCCTCAACTAGAGCCTGCGTGCCGCAAACTACACAGCCCACATGCTCTGGAGCCTGCGTGCCACAACTAGAGAAGAGAAAAACCCGCACGCCACAACTAGAGAGAAGCCTGCGTACTGCAACAAAGAGCCTGTGTGCCGCAATGAAAGATCCTGCATGCCTTAACGAAGATCCCGCGTGCTGCAGCTAAGACCCGACGCAGGCTAAAATAAATGATAAACATATTTTTTTTCTTAAAAAAGAACGTTTTTTTAAAAAAAAGTCTGACTTCTTTTCTATAGTCAAAGAACTTGGGTTCAAAGCCTGGCTTTGCCACTCACCAGCTGGGCAAGTTAACACTCTGTGCCTCAGCTTCTTTATCTATAAATAGGGATAATACTAGTAGCTGCCTCAGAAGGTTCTTATAAGGACTAAATGAATTAATACATGGGATGTACTTAGCACACTGCTTAGTATATAGTTCTGCATGGAAAAGTGTTAGCTGCTACTGCTGTGACTACTATTACTATTACTGTTATAGCAATATTTTTTTTCTTGGTGCCTTAGCTCGTTATAAAAGTCTTAAATTACTATAATATGTTACAACGCAATGATACTTATTTAAAGGGTGGAGGGTTATTGGCTTTTACATGAAATGGTCCCAGACCTATTTGCCGGAGTGCTTTTATATGCTGTTTTATAGCTTTTCTATTTTCCTTTGTGAGGTCTCTGATTTTCACTTCTACTGTTGTTAACCATTTTTCCTATGTATATCAGTTTCTTTCTGTACTTCTTTTGTTATAGGGGTCATAAAAACCAGCAAACCAAGTTTGTTAGGCATGTGTGTCAAGTAAAAGCAAATATATTCTAAACTAAGTTGGAAAAGCTCTCCTATATATGAATAGAGAAAAGAAAGTTGACTCCACGGACATTTCATTTGGCCTTTCGGAGGTATTTATTTTTTCTTATTTTCCGATTCTTATATAAATATAAAAAGTTATACGAAAATTAAGTTTCTGGGGAGACAGAGGTAACAAAGTTTACACATAAATGTTAAGATTAAAAAGCCTCTAATTTAGTTCAAATAAATACTCATTAAGGTCCTACTATAGCTAGATACCGGAGGAGCAAAAATGAATGATATGGCCCTAAACCTCAAGAGGCTTGCAATCTAGAGGGGGAGATAAAGCATAAACAATTAATGCCAAGATAATATAGTAAGAGATACCGAAGATACTCACACTGGGTACTATGGGAGCCTAGAGGAAGGGCCCTTAACCTCACCTGGGGCTCCAAGGAAAGTCTCCTGGAGAGGATCATGCCTGAGCTGAACCAGAGGGCAGCCAGGTGAAGACATGTTGAATGCGCTATTACAAGCATAGGAACAGAAGTCATGAGGTAGGAAAGCAGCATAGTGCTTTTCTGAGAGTATGTAGCTGTGTTTGTGTGAAGAATTAATAATTTGATATTGTTGCAATTAAAAAAAAAGTGAAATGGGAAATGGTGAGAAATGAAGCTAGGAGTTAGACTGAATAGGGGCCAGAGTCAAGAGAGGTTGTCTTATGCCATGCTGAGAGGCTTGGACATTGCCTATAAAGAAATGGGGAGCCATTAATAAAACTTTAAGGAGAAAAATGGCAATTTTCAGATTTTCCTTTCAGCTGTATAACTGAGACAGCATTGTAAAAGACAGAGAAAAGCTAGAAAAGACTGGAGGAAGGGAGACAAGTTAGGTGTCAGTTGCAATGAATAAACTAGAGATAGTAAAGCCTGAATGAGGGCAAGGTAGTAGTTATGGTGAGGTAGAGAGGGTTCCAGATGTAGTTTGAAGATAAGATTGGATGATCCTGATGATTTATTAGATGAAGGGGGTCCAAGATTGAAAGGAATCAAGGATGACTACCAGATTTTAGGCCTTGAATTACTGGTTAAATGAGAGTACAATTAACGGGAGAGAGAAAGAGGACAGCGTTTGGTTTATCTTGTTGCTGTCGTTTTGTTTTTTAAATTTAAGTTTGCCTTTGTTGTTTTTCTTTTTTAAATAGTGGGCATATGAAGAGTAATTAGTTCAGGTTAAATTTGCGTTAAATAATGTAGAAGTCAGAATTGAAGATATCACTTTTAGAGTAATTAACAAATAGAAGCAAGAGAGCAGAGAAGAAGTCCTAGGAAAATGTGTGAAAAGAAGAGAAGCAGAAAAAAAAAAAAGAGCAGCAGAACAAGAGTGGGGTGGGACATTGGAATGCCAGTGCTTAAAGAGGGACAGAGGAGGCTAGCCTGTGAAGGAACCTGGGACAGCACACTGAGAGGTACAAGGAGAGGACAGTGCCATGAAAGCCAAGGATGAGTTCCAGATGGGCTGGTCAGTAAAGAAGCTAGACGCAACTTGTATCAGCTGCATTTTGTGAGCAATCACTACACATCCGGTGCTGTGTCATACAGTGTTATCTCCTTTAATCTGTTACCCATGTGCTAGAGATGACAAATCTGAAGTTCAGCGAAGATGTATAACTTACCCAAGGTCATAGGGTGAGTTGGCAGAACTGGGATCTGAACCCAGGTCTGCAGGATTACAAAGCCCATGTTCTTAACTCTGCTGGAGTAAAAGAACTTCTTCAGGATGCAACATTATAGTATCATAATAAGGACTGCTATATATTGCTTTTCCAAGGAGCATATCTTAAAACTATCTGATAATCTCAAAGAAATGATATTCAAGGAGGTCACTATACATTTGATCACTTTAATCAAAACATACTTTTTTCAGTGACGTATTTCTTGAAATATTTTTATTTCATAAATATTACACTTGTCAAATCATGAGAACAATAAAGTGCAACACAAGGCAACCCACTCATTAGGGCACTGCTCCAATAAAGCCAAAAGGAAGGTCCTAGACGGACGAGTTAATGTCCTTCAGAGGAAAGCTAAGCACCCTGGACTTAGACACCTGAGTCTTCTTAGCTTTCTCACAAATGCTACTACTGGTCTCAAGGAAAATCAGAAAGGATATGCACAGTTCAGCAAAAAACTACCACAAACATGAAATTAATTAGAATAGTTATTCTATAGAAGGTTTATTTTAGATGATAAATTATTATCCATTTAAAGATAGAGAATAAGAAGTCACAGTGCTATTATAAAAGTTGTAATTTTCCTATTTCCCACTAGAGGGAGGAATAGCATTGCTCTTACCATTTGGTGGATAAAAGACAGCATATTCTTCTAGTCCTAGTTTTCCTGTAAGAGAAAACCATAGAGAGTTCCAATATGATTAGATAAAATAGAAAAAACTTTAAAAATTAATTTTGTGAATATACTAAAAATTAATGGAATTTATAAACTACTATAGTACAATCTCCTTTCATTTCATTTTATGATATGGAATTAATTTGAAAATATGCCAGCCAATCTTTTGGTATTAGCAAATCCTTTCATCAACTAAAGTCAATAATATAAACTTAAGCACTACAAGGTAAGTGATATAAAATAATTAAAAGAACAAACATTTTCAAGCTCCTTAAGCACTTAAGAAGAGCAGCATCTATTTGTAAGCCTAGAATTGTTGTGTTAATTATAAGTAATTCTAGTCTAGTCATTAAAGTAAGTCCTAAGCTTTGCAACACCTCATTAGTTTACATTTTATGGAATGAGCTAAGAAGTTAAAATTAAATGTCTTTCACTGTATGGTGGTAATATTTTCTGAATTCCTAAACAATTGATATGGTCTGAGAATGAGGCTAAATATTTGAAATCAGGATTATCTCAGAAAATTAAAGTATATTCACCATAATTAAATGTTTAAGTGAGTTTTTAAAAGTTTTTCCTCAAAACTTTCAAAGGTCTGAGTTTTTTCCCACCTTCTACTGAGGTGGGAAAAAGTAGGTAGCTCTTATCTTGACAGTTTTTCTAACACTGTTGAGTCTACTGAAAAGTCACATGCGTTTTTGCACTTGGCTTTAAGGTAAGATTTTTAATTAAAAAAATTTTTTTGGTTGGGAATGGTGGGAGAGAGGAAATGAAGAACTGCATGAGCAGTTTAGGTTAGGGTGGAGACAACAAGGGTTGATCTTGTGAGTAAGAAGAGAATGAAATGATAGATGGGTAGGTAGGTCGATGGATGGATGATAGAGAATACCTGCTGGGTACCCAATACTGGGCTAGGTGCCGAGAGGCAAACAGAGTAGATATGAGATATGGTGTCTGAACCATGTGGCTTATAATCCAGACTAAAACAGGAAACATTAAGATATGTTTGCTAAGTTTTCTGGCACAGCCTTTAAGTGCTTGTGAGGTTTCGAGGAGAGGGAAATTGATGATGGGTTGGTGGACTTGGAGACAATGGAAAATGTATATTGGTCTCTGCCCCTGGTTGCTGGCACAGAGCTCCTGAAACCCTTGTACTTTCCTAAGTGATAAGAGCATTAGGAGCATCTTTCATTCTATTGGGGTGACTCTGAGTGGGCTTCTGAACGGGCGCTGGTCACCAGAAAGACCATGCCTTGATTAGAAGCCCCACCCCCTCATACTCCAGAGGGACTGGAAATGGAGTTTAATAATTGATCATGCCTCTGTGAGGAAGACTCCATAAAACCCCAGAAGTAGGGGGTTTGAAGAGCTTCTAGGTGGGCAAACACATCAACACTGGGAAGAAGACGCACTCCAACTCCATGGGGACAGAAGCTTCTATGCTTGTGACCCTCCCAGGCGTAGCCCTATGTGCCTCTTCATCTGGCTGTTCATTTGTATTCTTTATCATATCCTTTAACCAACTGGTAAATGTTAGTACGTGTTTCCCTGAGTTCTGTGGGCCTCTCTAGTACATCAGTCAAACCCAAGGAGAGGGTTGTTGGAATGTCCAGTCTAAAGCCAGTTGGTCAGAAGCACAGATGATAACCTAAGCTTGTGACTGGTGTCTGAAGTGTGTGTGTGTGTGTATGTATGTGAGGACTGAGTCCTTAACCTGTGGGATCTGACACCATCTCTAGGTAGACAGTGCTAGAATTGAGTTAAACTGCAGGACACCCAGGTGGTGTCAAGACTAGCTTGTTATTGTGGGGAAAACTCCCCACATATGTGTGACCAAAAGTGTCAGAAGTGAAGTGCTTTGTGTGAGTAGTAAATTAAAAACACAGGAGCAAAACACAGTAGGAAAGAATTGGGTTTTTCCCTACATAGAAGGAAATAATCTGAGTTTTTCTGATACTGTGAGATATAGGCTAGTTCTTCAAGAACCTATGATTTTGGGGGTGGAGGAGTGGGAATCTTTCCATGTTTAGGGAATATATAGAGGCTTAGAATGAAAGTGGGATAATGTGGAATAAACAGAGAATCAAAGTTAGCTAGGTTAAGACAGGATCAACTGATGGAGGGCTGAATTAAAATTTGGCTGAATTTAGAGGTAAGTCCATTAGATAAGTTCTATAATCAGTTTTTCAGCAGATGATGTGAAAGAAACAAACAAGTAAACCAAATGCTTCTATCAATTCAGTATAGAAGCAATGTAACCAAGAGAGCTCCCAAGTAGGGGGAGCCTGATCCCAGCACTGGCAATGTGGGCCTGTCTTAGGGCAGGGGTTGTAGTAATCAGGCAGACGGTTGGACTTAGGAGATACAGGACAAACAGCATCTTTCTTTATGGGAATAGCAGAATGACCATACACAATAGGCTTATAAGCTTCCAGTGCTGGGTGTTCACTACTTAATAAAAAGGAGGAAGCGGGGAAAGGCTTCCAGCTGAAATTAGTTCAATTGCCAGGTGATAGCAGGATACTGAAATAGCATAATCTTGTAGGCAGCTAGTGATAAAGAGAAGAAAGCAATAAAATAGAATTAAGAAAGCTAATAGCATATAAATTATATCAAACTTTAAGTGTGGTGTAACATTTTGAGAGAAGGAGTAAAGAAAGCAAGAAAAAGAAAATTCAACTGATAAACTCATAGTTAGAAGGGTAAGTAAAAGTCAACAGATATGGCAAAAACAGCAACAGAGGAGAGAGCAAACAGGATAAATAAAGAAGTAATTTTAAATGCTGTTTTGGGGAACCACTTTCCTGTGATCTGCGATAAGTGGCTTGGGCACTGATTTAAGTGGGAGTGAAAGATAGTTACAATAGCCTGAGAGACATCTTATTAAATAATTTACAACAAAAATTTTGACAACCAATATATGCTATAAAATAAACAGTCTTGGCATGATTATGTAAGTGTTAAAGAATACTTCCTTTATATACTAAAATTTTACCTCTTATGTATGATTTCGGTGGTGAAGCACTGTTGTATGCAAAGTGACCCAACACAGATGTATCTCGGGAGAAACAAAGTAATACCTGGGTACAACATTGGAAAAAACAAACAATTAAGCACTGTTTTTTTCCCTTTATTTTGTATTGAGATATGGTTGCATTACAATGTTGTGTTAACTTGTGTACTTTTTATTTTTTTAACATCTTTATTGGAATATAACTGCTTTACAATGTTGTGTTAGTTTCTGCTGTATAACGAAGTGAATCAGCTATACGTATACATATATCCCCATATCCCTTCCCTCTTGCGTCTCCCTCCCACCCTTCCTATCCCACCTCTCTAGACGGTTACAAAGCACAGAGCTGATCTCCCAGTGCTATGCGGCTGCTTCCCACTAGCTATCTATTTTACATTTGGTACTGTATATATGTCCATGCCACTCTCTCACTTTGTCCCACCTTACCCTTCCCCCTCACCATGTCCTCAAGTCCATTCTCTACGTCTGCATCTTTTTTTTTTTTTTTTGTGGTACACGGGCCTCTCCCATTGTGGAGCACAGTCTCCGGACGTGCAGGCTCAGCGGCCATGGCTCACGGGCCCAGTCGCTCCGCGGCATGTGGGATCTTCCCAGACTGGGGTACAAACCCGTGTCCCTTGCATTGGCAAGCGGACTCTCAACCACTGCGCCACCAGGGAAGCCCCTACGTCTGCATCTTTATTCCTGTCCTGCCCCTAGGTTCTTCATGACCATTTTTTTTTTTTTTTAGATTCCATATATATGTGTTAGCATACGGTATTTGTTTTTCTCTTTCTGACTTACTTCACTCTGTATGACAGACTCTAGGTCCATCCACCTCACTACAAATAACTCAATTTCGTTTCTTTTTATGGCTGAGTAATATTCCATTGTATATATGTGCCACATCTTCTTTATCTATTCATCTGTCGATGGACACTTAGGTTGCTTCCATGTCCTGGTTATTGTAAATAGAGCTGCAATTAACATTGTGGTACATGACTCTTTTTGAATTATGGTTTTCTCAGGGTATATGCCCAGTAGTGGGACTGCTGGGTCACATGGTAGTTCTATTTTTAGTTTTTTAAGGAACCTCCATACTGTTCTCCATAGTGGCTGTATTAATTTATATTCCCACCAACAGTGCAAGAGGGTTCCCTTTTCTCCACACCCTCTCCAGCATTTACTGTTTGTAGATTTTTTGATGATGGCCATTCTGACTGGTGTGAGGTGATACCTCACTGTAGTTTTGATTTGCATTTCTCTAATGATTAGTGATGTTGACCAGTTGATTCTTTTAGTGTATTTTTAATCTGCAAAAAAGAACCAACTTGAAGAAATTTAATAAGATAAGATGTGTAGAGCAGGGACCCTAGGTAACTACGATGGCACAGAGAAGTTTGAAAAGTGCAGGAAACTGGAACTAGGCTCATTGCTGGGATGCAGCAGCTGGCAGTGGGCATGTCAGGGTGGGAGGGAAGGCAACTCATGGTATCTAAAAGGGATTAGCAGCAGTAGAACAAGTGGCAGCCCAGCACAGGTTAGAAGCTGGTTGTTCTGACCAGCAGGTAGATATGGCAACTCTACCTAGAGAGGAAAATAGGTAAGGCAGAAAGTCAAAATCAAAGATGTCCAGTAGGAGGAACTGGATTGTTGATACCAGCCTGGAGGCAGGGGACCAATCCCCAGGAAGGTGATTAGTGAGTGACAGGAAATCTAGGTCCTGGTATTAGAAGTCCTGGGATTCAAAAGATGTTACTGAGAAAAGGATTCGGGAATAACAGAAAAAGGCAGAAGCCCAGTTAACAGAACTGGGGAACAAAATCAGGGCTCGACTAGCAGCAGGAGTGAATGGAGAGGGGAACCATGAGTTCAAGACACAAGAGAGGGGCCCAGCTTTAGAAACAGGATAGATATGGAGACTGGGCATCAGTCAGGTGCAGTCATGAGATACGTACCAACCATTGCTGCTGATTTATTTTTATATATTAAAAGGCTATGCAAGCAATACATGTTTATGATAAAAATAAGAAAAAAAATTAGAAATAGAGATAATTAAAAAATGGAGAAAGAAGATCCACAATCTCACCAGTGTTAATATTTTGATAAATATCCTTCCGGGTTGTTCTTATACATACATACATAAATTTTTCCAACAAAATAGGATTACGCATACTGTTCTATACTCTACTTTCTCTCAGTATTATAAAATAAGGGATTTCCCTGGTGGTGCAGTGGTTAAGAATCCACCTGCCAATGCAGGGGACACGGGTTCGATCCCTAGTCTGGGAAGATCCCACATGCCACGGAGCAACTAATCCCATGTGCCACAACTACTGAGCCTGTGCTCTAGAGCCCACGAGCCACAACTACTGAGCCCACGTGCCACAACTACTGAAGGCCGCATGCCTTGTGCTCCACAACAAGAGAAGCCACTGCAAAGAGAAGCCTGCACACCGCAACGAAGAGTAGCCCCTGCTCACCGCAACTAGAGAACGCCCACGTGCAGCAATGAAGACCTAAACACAGCCAAAATTTTAAAAATAAAGTAAATAAATCTGTAAAAAAAAATTATAAAGTAAGTATTTTCTACCCACATTTTTTAATGCTGCAGAATAATCCACTATACAGACGAACAATAGTTTATTTTTTGCGGTACGCGGGCCTCTCACTGCTGTGGCCTCTCCCGTTGCAGAGCACAGGCTCCGGACGCGCAGGCTCAGCGGCCATGGCTCACGGGCCCAGCCGCTCCGCGGCATGTGGGATCTTCCTGGACCAGGGCACGAACCCGTGCCCCCTGCATCGGCAGGTGGACTCTCAACCACTGCGCCACCAGGGAAGCCCTGATGTGTATTTTAATTAGGAACCTAAAAGTGGTCAGGAAATGAGCCTGGGATAATAAGATTTTGGAACAGGTCACCGGGACCAGACAAATAAGCCTAGGGTTGAAGGGAGAGGTCCAGAAAGCCCCAAAAGACAAATATAAATTAAAGATAAATAAAAATTTGGAAGTTGTCAGTGTACAGATGGTACTTAAAGTCAGGAGAATATATGAGATCACCAATGGCAAAGATGGGGGAAAAAAAGAGGTCCAAGGACTTATCCTTGGCGTTACTCCAGGGTATGACAGGGAGATGAAGAGAAAGCAGCAAAGGTGAATGAGAATGCCAGCCAGTAAGATAGAAGGGAACCAGAAAGCATGATATCCTAGAAGCCAAGTGAAGAAAGAGAATCAAAGAGAAGGCATGATTGAGTGACCAAACAGATAAAGTAAGGTGAAAACTGGGAAATGACCAGCAATATGAAATCACTCGTGATCTTCAGTAGGACAAGTTGGGCACAAAAAGACTGATTAAGGAAGGTCCAAGAGAGAATAGGAGGATAGGACTTAGAAACAATATCTGCAGATTTTTTAAAAAGAAGTTTTGCCAAATAAGGGAACAGGGGAATGGGGCAGTAGCTGGAAGGGATAAGAGATCAAGAAAGATTTTTGTTTCACTTTATTTTGCTTTGTTTTTCAGGTTGAGAGAAATAACCATGCAGTTGTATACTAAGAGGAGTGATTCAATAGAAATGGGAAAATTGATGATGGAAAAACTAACAATTGCACTGCCTTTGAGTACCGAGGGAAGATGAGTTTCAGTGTCCAAATGCAGGGACTGGCTTTGTTATAAATAAAAGCACGGGCAGTTTATCCATAACAAGAGGAAGGGAAAGCTGAATATATGGGTGCAGAGGCAGGTAGGTGGAATATGTGTGATGGAGGGCGGTTCTCAGAACTTTGATTTTTTTCAGAAACAGGACTCAAAGTCATTACCTGAGAGAGAAGAGGTGGAGATCTGAAGAGAGAGGAGGTATGAGAAGTCCTCTAGGGGAATAGATGAATGATTGGACCAGGGAAATGAAGTAGAAATGCCAAGCAGAAGTAAGGACTCTCTTGAGGTTAAAGGTCATGAATTTAAATCAAACCAGTCATCATGATTGCATGTTTTTCTCCAGCTACTTTCAAATGTACACTGCAGCCACAGAATTGGTGGAGAGTTGTACTTAACCAGGATTAAGGTTTTGTCAGTCAATTACTACTAGAAATTGGGAGAAGCGTGAGGGAGTTGAACATGTATTCAAGAGGAAGTGATTATAATGATAGGTCATGGTATTGACATGTCTTTCACATTTGTTCTCTCTCTCTGTTCACTCAGACCTTGCTCTATAGCAAGTGCTCATTAAGGTTAGCCTGAACTGCCAGAGTTGTTCACTGCCATGAAAAGCTAATCTCTCTTCACTAATCACCGTATGCACATGGCTCATGTTTATTTTTCTCAGTCTCCTAATTCCTTGCCTTTAAGAACCAGACATTTCCTCAGAGAAAGACAAATACCATGATTTCATTTATATGTGGAATCTTAAAAAAAATAACCGCAAACAGACAAACAAAATAAAACAGAAATAGATTCATAGATACAGAGAACAAACTGACGGTAGCCAGAGGGGAGGTGGGTGGGGGGTTGAGCGAAATAGGTGAAGAGGATTAAGAAGTACAAACTTCCAGTTATAAAACAAAGGAGTCATGAGAATATAATGTACAGCGCAGGGAATACAGTCAATAATAACTGGAATAACTGTATGGTGACAGATGGTTACTAGACTTATCACGGTGATCAATTTGTAATGTATATAAATGTCAAATCACTATGTTGTACACCTGAAAATAATATACTATTGTATATCAACCATACTTCGATAAAAAAATTAAAAAATTTTTAAATTAAAGGAAAAAGAACCAGACATTTCAGATAACATTTCTATTCTGAAGCCACTGCTAAGCTGAACTACTCCCAGAATTTATTTCTCCTTTAATTGTATTTGCATGCAACATTGCATAAACGTCTATCAGAGCATTTATCAAATTATAACTATATATTTGCCTTTACCTCATTTTTCACTAAAATGTGAGCTTAATAAACATGCAACACCTTACACAGTGCCTGTATCAGAACAGACACTCAATAACTTGACATGAATAAAGGATATCTGATTGCACCTGGGCCTTTCTTGAACACCATTCAA